TCGTGTCTTCATACACAGATAACTTGAATAAAATAGTAAGGTCAGTTATAGCGTCTTCATACACGAATAACTCGAGTATCTTATTGAATAAATCATAAACTTGTTATATGACTACTTTGTATCTTCATATACATTTAGCCGTTTGCCTCATTTGTAACTGCAAATCACCATAATCCTATTAAAGCGTAACTGCAATAAACTCTATACTTTATTCAAGCATAAAACGGTATTCGTTATCAATCGTCTAACATAGTTTCGAGTGTAAGAGTAACGTCAGAAAAGAACGGATACCCTACTTGTAATAATTCCTACTTGTAATAATTAGATTCAGATTTAATTGTTAGATCCAGGTTTAATTGTTAGATCCAGATTTAATTGTTAGATCCAGATTTAATCATTATATTTTCCAGTAACCGAATCGATAAGAGTCAGAATCATTAAGTTACAGACGTTGGATAATGTCAAAAACTTACAATTTCGGTCATTTTTCAAGTGTCTCAGAATTTATAAAAACAGCTGTAATGCAGATAACAATTTCATACGTATATAGCCCCGATGGTCTCTTTATATAAGATAACGGTTTCTGCAATATTCGCATAACATATTTGTAGCGTTTATTCCATACCATATAGCCCGTCGTATGATGACGGGTAGAGCTTGGAATCGATGAGTTTCGAGCATCGATTGGTCATAAACTTTAGACATTGGTAAAAAATTTTGACCAGTGCTCGAGTGTTCATAGAATTTTAAATAATAAAAAATACATAAAAGAAATTAAAATAATAAAAAATACATAAAGAATTTAAAATTTATCAATTGTACTATCATCGGGATGGATTAAAATCGATTATTTTTATATTACGTTTTAGAAATATCATTCTCTCAAATAACTTTTCTTTGCATTCACTTGGTATGCTTGTTGCCGGATCGCAAGAAATTTATAAGTCACTTCGTAGTTTTTAACATGGCAATTATAAATGCACAATCTAGAATAAAAGTGTTGCCAAACCCAGGAACGTTTTTAGACCCCCCACGTAGGGTTGTTAATGGAGTGCTCCAGTTAATAATAAAACATATAACCCACTCCGGAGCACTCCAGAAGCGGGTTATATGTTTTATTATAGTCTGGAGTACTCCATTAACAACCCTATCCCCACGTATTTCTTTTTTAAAACTAGGTTCTTCACCAACCGAAATATTAATGCAATTAGATTTTTCGTTATTAAAAAAGAACTCTACGGGAGCATCAGCAGAATAGTGTTTCAAGCCGATTAAATTTTTACGGCTAGGCCGTTAAATTTTTAATCGCTTAGCAGCTTAACCGATAGGATATAGTACCGACCCCAAAATATGGGTCTATAGTATGTCAAAAATTTCCTATAAATTTAACATTAAAAACTGCATCCTACCGCTAAAATTTCATGCGAAAAACATATGGGCGAAAATCTCCAGTTTCGTGATGATTTAGTGTGAGTGATTAGGTTAAATAAAATTGAGCCAATCATTTATGTGATATAGCATGATTATTGAGAATAAAAGTGATTTTTTGATCAGAGGTTGTAAGCCCGATAATACTCATAAATTTGTACCTGATTGTAACCTGATGCTTATAAATTTTTGTAATTATGTACCTAATTATGACCTAATTACTTATAAATTTTATACATATGTACGTACCAGATTAAAATTTTTTTATATGTATGTGCCTGATTGTAACCTGATTACTTACCAATATTTTGTACGTTACTTATAAATTATTGTTATATGTACATGATTATAATATCACCTAATTTTTAATAATCACTGTATTTCAACTGGAGATTTTCGCCCATATGACTTTTGTTTTTACATTCGGACTAAGAATTTATGTTCTTCAGACCGGGATTTTCTTAACATAAGGGCACCCAATATAGATTAATGAAACTATCGGTCGACTAAGCGGCTAAATGGCTGGCTAAGTGGCTGACTTGATCGGCTTAAAACACTAAACAGATTACGCAATATCTTTAATCAATATTAAATCATTGTCAATTTGAAATTAAACAGAATTTATCGTTATGGAACTATCGTATGGGCCAAAATTTCCAATTTCCGCAGTTTTTATTATGAATAAAAAATTTTTAAACCAATCATATGAAAGATTTGGCGTGACTATTGAGATTAAAAGTGATATTTCTTATGATTTGCTTATCAGTTACTTATCAGTTTTTTATATAGTTTACTTTATGGGTCTTATCAGTTTTTATATAAATTTTATAATCATTTTAATAATCACAATGTTCCGACTGGACTTTTTGGCCCATACGTTATTTATTTATCAATCAAAAAATTTATCACTATCATAGTTAAATTTTAATTCTGACTAGAGATGTGCGAATGCATAACTTTTTGGCTCTGCAATCATGGTGTTCTACCAAAATCAAGAAGCAAGATTCATACCCAATCTTTCTTATCTCTAGACAGAAGTTTACTATTTTATGGTATTTTTAAACCTTATATTAGTTGGCCTGCTTTATACAGGTAGGAAATCACTAACTGATGCTACATATCACTTAGTATTACATATGATATAAATTTTTGTTGCATTAAAATTATATAATACAGAGGACTCTCGTTAATATCAACTTCGTTAATATCAACCTAAGCCACAAACCAAATTTTTATATTCCCTTATACATATCAAATAACCCCTGAATTAAAATCAGTCCAAATGGGTTGATATTAATGAGGATCACCTGTAATTCTATATGCACTTTTAAATTTTAAAATGTCTACATTACATTGATGCAATGCACATAATGCAGAATGCCCATCTCTAATTCTGACTGATGCTCGATGATTGAACGGGGTAAAAAACTCAATGAAGTTATTTCGGTGTTCGAAATTTTCGAACGATGCTACACTCTAATGACGGGGATCTAATACTATGGTTCATTTTAATCACGTGCATCGATTATTATTTGTCAAATTTTCATATTGCCAAAGAAAAATTATATTCAGTCTGAAAATACTTCAAATTTACTATTTTTACTGTTTATATTTTTTAATATCACTTAATTGACAATCCACGAAAGAAGGAGAATATTTTATTAATAAAAAAGTGGTGTGATTTTTATAAGTATTATTATAGAGGTTGAAATCAGCATTCCTGATGTATACAACTTTTTTTCTATCAAGTAAAGATTTCTTGAAGCTCTAATAAAAGTTGTAGAGGAAATTTTCCTGATTCTATGTATACATCAGGAATGCTAATTTCAATAATAATATAAAAAGTCACACCACTTTTTACTAATAAAATATTATAAAATATTTTTTCGCGGATTGTCAATTAAATTAAAAAACATGTTATTTGAAATTATATGATAAATATTTGATGTAATTAATTTACTTTTTAATTATGTATTATTTTTCATCCTTTATTTGCTTTTTTTATATATTCTTCTTACGTTATAAAAAGTTAACGCGAAGTTCAACATGTTAGTTTACTAGGAAAATTCAAACAGAAAAATGGTTAAAAGGTTAGTATTTTTACATAGTTTTGTAGTAAGAAAAGGAACTAGAAACGCGTCGTGGCCACTATAGATGGTGGTAGAATTCAAAAATGGAAATTATAACAATGATTACTAATCATTTCCATTGATAAAATTTCCATTTTTGAATTCTACCACCATCTATAGTGGCCACAGTTCGACGACCTACTGTGAACTTCTAACTAACTGAAAGCTTCCTTGTGTGAAAATGTTAATAAGACCATAGGTTAAAATTGAACCACGTCTTGCAAAAGAAAATAAAGACGGTGCATGTAATTTTAAATCATAAGATTTGTCGTGTGGAATCTGCTGATTCTGGAAGAGGGATTGGCTATGTCTTCACTTAATGACACATATCTTTTCTCTCAAATATCCTCTTGATACAGTATTATTATGCAGTAGGAATTTAAAAAAATCAAGTAAAGCTGTGACGATCTACGCGAATAAAACTGAATTTTGAACGAACTTAAATAGGGTAATTGTTATACAAGCCTAATGCTATTTAACTTCTGCTCTAAATCCTAATTTGAAAGGCTTCGATCGAGATATGAACGCAATGCTGTAATTTGTCGAATTATGGTAACTCATTATAATTATGATCAATTATGGCACATATCTATCTAGGCTCTTAAATATCATAGGCGAAAATTATTTGGCCAATGCAAATCAATTGCCCGAATAACTTATTTATACATTGTTAAGAACTTAACGTTTCACTTGCAAAAGAATCATCGCAAAAGTCATCAATAGGTTTAGAATAGTGTTAACATTCATTGTGCATAAGTATCATAAAAGATACTTCTAACATACATTGCTTGAAGGACAAAATTTGCCACCATCTGTCAGACCATACAGTTAGCTGAGATATTTAACCGGAACATTATTTGTTTGGTCATAGGTATTATCAGTTATAATATATAGTAAATTTAATAGCAAATACATTCTACATATGAGTGTCGCAGATTAAAAGCCTGTAACTGATGTAGTAAATCAGTTATGGGTAACACTCATATATCCATATATCTTATGGATTTATAATATCGGGACATTTTTTAATATCAATATATTTATCGATTCATAGGTTTTCTGTTTTAATTTAATTATTGATTATGTCAAGATTTATGTATGTATTAACTAAAAATTCATGTTTTTAACAATTTTCTTGATGTCGTATTCAACCATGTAATTATTAACCAATCAAATTATAAATCAAAAAAACAAAACGGCAATAAAAAAGTCAAAATGTAAAAAATATGAAAAATCATTAATAAAATTATAACTGATAATGATACCTGATACGTATCGATATGTACGTACGTACGTATGACCAAACTCGACCCCAAATTTGGTACTTTGTTAACTCGACCAGATGGTACGAGCCAATGGTAGCAATCAGCCTAAGCAAACTAAAAGTCTCGAATGAAAATACAAAAGAATTGACGTTTACGCGTTAATATAAAAGAACCTAATATGTCTGAAGAACAAAGGGATGATGCTGCAAAAAAGATTGAGGAACTTGACAAAAAAATTTCAGAGTTATTGGAAGAGAAAACAAAATTATCAAGTACAGTAGAACGTTTGCAAGCTGATTATGGAAAATTAAAAACTGACCATTCGAATGCAAAGGAAGAAGCTGCAAAACAAATAAATAGTCTTGAAGAAGAAGTTGGTCAACTTAGTGAACAATTATCACTTGCCCGTAATCAGGGTGACGAATTAATTGCTGAATATGAAAGAGAAGGTAAGAAATTGGAGCCTCGTCTTAAACAACTAGGTGAACAAAACAGAAATTTGGAGAAGCAAACGAGACACTTGGAAAGTCAAAGGAATGAATTGCAATCACGTAGAGATTGTTTGACTTTAGAGAAGGAAAAACTTTTATCACAACTTGAAGATCTAACAAAGAGTATAGATCTTCTTGGCAAAACTGTAAATTCTTCAAAAGAACGTTATGAGGCTAAAAATGCTGAGGTTTCAAAACAAAATGCTGAGGTTTCAAAGCAAAATTTAATAAAAACTGTCGGAAACTCTACGGATAATGTAGATAATTTGAAGTTAGAGATTGATCAATTACGATCTGAGAATGACATGCTCAAGCTTGAAAATTCAAAATTAGTTAAAGACCTACAAACGTCCAACGACAAAAATCAACGATTAGAAATTCAATTAAGTGAAATGGTCGACGTGGTACAGAATGCTTCCGATGAATTAGACTCTAAATCAGCTCAGATAACGCAACTTCGTAATGGTTCGTTAAACCTAGATACTGAAGAAGAAAAAAGATTAATGCTTTTAGAAAATGAAGTAGAAGAACAATTCCAAACTTTAAAAAATACCTTGGCTGCATTGAATACGACTGGAAACGCTAATCAAAATAATACAAATCAAGGTGATCAACAAAATATTCAATCACAACTTCAAGAATTGTGTGGCCTTTTACAAACTGAAATAAATGTCAATACATCTCTTCGAGCTGCTCTTAAAGAAACAAAAGTTGCTTCATTAAATAAAGAGGAAATGATGATGAAAAGAATTGAAGATTTAACCACTCAATTAAACACCGTGTCAGAACACGTTCAAATATATAAAATTCGAGCAGAACATGTTGAAGCAAAATTACAACAAACTGAAATATCTCTTAAAAAAAAAATTGAAAACGAAGAAAGCTTGCGAAAAGAATGGAATGTAATGGTTGAAGAGCATGCTAAAGACTTGGATGCTCTGAAACATAGGTGGGATGAAGAGCGAACGATATTGAAAGCTTCTAGCACAAAAACTAAAGCGTATCAATTAGCAGAGTTGGGACTGAATCACAAAGAGCTAGAAGATTCATGGAAACAAGAAAAGGAAACATTAAATAAAAAATTACGCTTGCAAAAAGATTCATATGAAAGAGAAATAAGATCTTTACAAAAGGTTTGAATGTATTCATTTATTTAAAGTGTTTTTTTTCTTTTTATGCACTCATTTGTTTATATTATTTAGGAAATTGAAAAATTAAATTCAAATAATAGAAGTTTAGATGAAGAATTACAATCAATTACTGCTAATAAGAAAGCGTTGGCCTTGGAAAAGGTTGCTTTGACGAAAGAAAAAACAGAATTATCACAACAATTAGACAATTTACAAAAGGTATGCTAATGATATTATTATTATTCGAATTATTATTATTATTCGAGTTATTAGTATTATTATTCAAATACGCAATTCATTATCAATTCATGATGTGTTCTATTAAAATTATTGTCGAACAGGAATCTAATCGGCACGCTAAGAAAAACACATCTATTAATGAGCTTGAAACACGACTGCGGAGATTACAGAAAGGTCTATATTGGTTGGTGCCTTGTATTTAAGTTTATAATAATCTTTTTAAAACTTATAAACAATATAATTTTGATATTATAGAGAAAGAAGTTACATCCGAACGTGCAACTCAAAAAATAAAAGATTTACAAGGAGAACTTCAAACAGAAAGAGAGAAAACATCCAAGTTAAACAAAGAGAAGAATGTTGCTCTTAAGGAAAAATCAGAGTTGCAGAGAAAATTTCTAATTTCTAATGAGGTATTTCGTTTACTTAATTATTAGTATTTATTTCCATTTTTATAAAAATTTTACTTATCGCAGGCAAAAGAATCCCTTGAATCTGATATTCGTGATGAGAAAGAACACATTAAGGCGCTCGAAGTTGAAATCCAAAACATCACCGACCAATTGCAATCTGAACGGCGAGACCACCAATCCAAAAATGAACAATTATCAAGATATGAAGATGAACTGCAAGCTGTTCAAGAGCAATGTAATAGATTGCGGGACGAAATGGAACAGTTGCAAGATAATTTTGCGGTTGAACGAAATCAATATAAGCAGCAACTTCAAAGGATGGAGACTTCAAATAAACGACGTGGTGGTGGTGTGAGTATATCTAATTGTTTACTTAATGCAAATTATCTATTAAATATGTTTTCAAATAGTCAATTGAAAATGAAGAAATCAAGGCGCAACACGCTGAAGATTGCAAAATGTTACTTCATGAGGTCCGATATCTCAAAGCAAAGTGCTACCGGGAATCTGCATTTCGTGCCGACTTGTGCTATCAGAAGAAATTTTTAATGGTACTCCTTGGTGGCATGGAATCATGGTAAGTATCTATTTTTATACCTTAAATATTAAGCTTTGTCTAAACAATGAAAGCTTTCTTTGTCTCTTTATTTAGTGAACAGGCAACTTTACTTTTGATATCAGACTTACGTAATCCCACTCGCCGTGTTATTTCACCGTTATTGAACAAATTCCGTAGTGCAGTTATTACAGTGCTTGCAATACAAAGGATGAGGTATGAGGAAATTTTAATAGTAATTGTGTTATTAGCGTTGTAAATTCTGCTTATGTCTATTTTTATTTATTAGAATACTTAAAAATTCATGGAACCGACATAAGGAATTGAAACGAAATATACAACTACAACAGCAACGCTATTAAAAGTCTTTAGTTTAATTGTCTTTTGTTCATTCATTATCGAACTAGTTATCGGCTTGACCCTGGCCTATATTATTTAACTATATATTATAAAAACCGACTAATGGATAGAGCCAAATGAGCCGATAACATACCTATTTTTTTTTCATTTTTGATTATCGATAGTGATAAATTGCTATATATGTTAATGTTTTTCGGGCGTAATATTTGCATCCATCGTATGAGTATAATTGTTTAATTACACACTTATAAATTAATGCATATTTATTGAAACAATTTGAATAATAAAGGCAATTCAACTTGCATTTTAGAAGTTATATAAATAAAAGTTTAACCATTACTTATTAAATGCAAGACTCCTTTTTTTTAAAAAAAAAACGCTGAACATGATTACATCATGAAATAATACGAATTATTTCATCAATAGAATTTCTAATTGTTTGTGAAGATTTGAATCTTGGAAGCTCTTTAATTTTTTCTAATAACGGTTGAAGATGATCTGCATCCCATGTACTTTTAATCTACATTAGGAAATTCGAATTTTTATTATTTTATGTAAACGTCATGAATTCGGAAAATCAATTCTCTATTTACCTTATCCTTAGGCACGTTAACACTTGTCTTTCTCATTGCCAGAGTCGCAAATTTCATTACTGATTTTAACATTTGAGAATCGAAGTATCTCTTTCCACATTGCAAATCCTGAGACACAAATTGGAATGTGGCCTTGAGAGACTCTCGCGATTTCTGTACAAGTGCATTAATAACACTATCATCTAACAGCTCCTGATATAAAGTAACATGTTAATAATCTTTATAATAAGTGGCTATAACAATATGTTCCTACCTTGTTCTTTTTTGCTGCAGCATTATTAAAAATAGATGCTGAAATATCATACGCATTCATTACTTTCTTTGGATTCTTTGCGGTCGTTGGATCAGTAAACCCGAGGAAAATATTTGTTTGATACCATGGAATTTTAGGTATGTGATTTGGTAACTCCGAAAAAGATTTCATATTTAAACAACCGGACTTTCTAATCCACTTTTCATATGTAGACTCATAAATACTGACGATTTTTTTTACTTTTTTATTTAAATGCAAATCCCCTGCGTCATTGTTCAAGCCGTCTGTATGACTTTTTATCAGAGATTTGAGCAGAAAGGTGCTAGTTTTCCAACACAAAGTTGCCAGGTCGCAGTAGCAAGCTTTTAGAGCCATATGATGTGTTTGTTGCAATAAAGTGAGAACACGATCATCATCAAATTGGCTGGGCATATCTTTTATAACACTGACTTTAAAGGTTATCAGAGAAAATGCACTTTTTGCAATTTCGTCGGTTTTTGCATTCTTAGAAAGTTCAAGCAAAGGAACAAGTAGTTCAAAAATCAGTGGATTAGTCGGTTGGGACCGAATAAAAACCCGTAATAGACCAATAACTTTATGTTTAAAATGAATTTTTTGATATTTTGCATCTAGATATACAATAATAAACATAATTTGGTGAAGCGGATCAATAGATATGTGTGTATGAATATCAAAAAGAATTTTAAATATATATTCTACCTTTTTTCTTTGCCTTTTCTAGTTTTTGCTGTTCAAAATACATCATTAATTTAGAGTCTAATTCTTCCATTATTTCATCTTGATTATCTAAATCATCGTCATTGTCATCACTACCTTCACCCATGGCCTTTAAACTTGATGCTTTCAATTCTTGCGTCGCTGATTTATATAATTCTTCATCAATGTGTTCGTCATCAAGTTCGTCATCTAGTTCGTCATCTAGTTCGTCAACACTGCCTTCATCAACATCATCAATATCCATCATTTGGTCGTCCTCATTATCTTTTTTTTTGCTCAACAGCTGGAATAACAAAAAGAAAGCTACGGTTATTAAATATTTTATTATTAATCATTCTCACAAACAGGTAACAAGAGCACATACTTCAATCATTACATCCAATGACGATTTTGTGATATCACCACAAAAAATCTTAAATATTTGTTCTGACATCTTGTGTAAAAATGAAGATGGTTTTGCAAGAAATCCAAGTAGAATATCTACAATAACATCAACAGGGTTATGCATATCTTGATTATTTTCATTTGTGTTTTTCAATTTTTTTGAAGGCTTTCTTTTTTTATCAAACATTTTATCATAGCAAATCCGTAAATCCTATAAATTGATTAGTTTAGTATCCCATATTAAATATTTTATATTTAAAAAGAAATTTCCTAACCTTTAAGGCGCTCATGGAATCTTCTGGCTCAATGTACAACGAAAGAATTGAGAAAGAGAACAGTAATATAAAACCCTTATATTGTAAAGTGTTTGTAGAATCATTTGTTGATGCTTCACTCTGTACCTTTTGCCAATTAGTAAATATCAAACCATATTTTACTATTTTATAAAATAGTTACCATTATAAACACAACAATGTTCATACCTTATCACTGATTTGTTGCAAAAGTATAATGACTTCATCTTTCATTTTTTGAGCTTCATTACTTAAAACTATCAATGGCTCTATTTGAGAATCGTCATAATACTTTTTCATTAAATTTACAGCATAATAAGCCCATGCACAGCCATCACTCATGGTACCGTTTAATTGATGGCTGGACGTTTCTGAGAAAATGCAAGAGAACATTGAATTCAATATAATACACAAAAAACTTTAGTGATAAGCCATTTATAGATCATAATACTCTACCATGGTCTAAAGAACGAATAGAACACAATTCACCAAGTGCATGAAAAAAACGTGTCCGACAACACTTTTGAGTTTTTTCTGAGAGCTTTGGTATTGGTAATTCAAATAAGACATGAGTTTTTTCTGAATTATCAGATATTCCTGTGTCAAGCTTCATTCTTTTTGAAGAACGTGTATTGTAGGTTTTGGTATGTGATTCAACCTATATATTCAAATATTAATGATATAAAAGAATATTCAACTGAATAAAAAAAAAAAAAAAAGGATTTTACCTCAGAGGTTTTCTTCTTATCCTTTGTGGTATCCAAATCTTTTGAAATGAAAAACCCATGCATAGTAAAAAAGTCCAAAATAGATTTCGAAAATCCTTCGTGACATTTTACATGAGAATCCTTTAAAAGAGTGTATATATGGTTTACAATCCATTGACGGTGCTGCTCGACTGATCTATTTTCACTGTAGATGCTGCGTTTTGCAAACATTAATAATTCAAAAATAAAAGTATTTTTAAAAATCACAAGCTTTTACCTCAATTGAATTTCATTCGGATATAAAAAAATTTTTTTAAGATGTGATAAATATTGTTCAAGTGCTTCGCTATCTAATGTACCAAAAACTTTCTTAATAGCTTTAGTATTAAAGAATCTAACGAAATTTTTGTTACAACTATGACCTAAAAGTTGCATTACTATGATTACAGCTTTGTCTTTATCGACTTGTTCAAAGACAGACAACTGTTTAATTACATGTAAAAAATGTCAAGTATGGGAATACAGCGAGACTTTTAATATTTATATATTTAACTCATTAATAATCTTACGATATGTATAGCGGCCTCGTGCAAGTATCGTGATTTGTCGACAAAATTATTCAATAATGTTCGTAAAAGATTTGGAGTAAATATTGAAGGCGTTTTTTCCAGTGGTAATGATATTAGAGCTTTTTCGAACAATTGAAATCCCCAAAATTTCCTGTGATGTGTAGTATCGTCATGAAAAAGACATTCTGCAAGATCAAAATAGATCATTAATAATATGAAACATAGGTAATTATTTTAATTGAGAAAATAAATAACATGTAATTACCATCTACTACCACTTTCCAAAATGTCTCAAATGTGACCATATTCTTCTTATGACTCTCTCCAGGAGGAGAGATAAACCATTGAATTATTGTGTTCCAAACAGAATGCATTCTATTTTCATAATTCGGTTGAGTCTCAGTGGCGAACTTGCTTGTTTTTGCCTAATAATTAAAATTGTGGAAGGTAACTATAAAATACAAATAAAATGGATAGAATAGAAATACGTTGCATACATGAATGGCTTCAGACAACTTTATTAAATTATCGTGATGAAGAATGTGTGGATTGAGCCATTTAGATTCACAAGTCTCACAGCTGTGCAATATAGCTTTCTTCCATTGAGAATTATTCACAATTTTCTAAGATTGTCAACAATATAAAGGATCAAGCAAAACAAACAATTGATCAAAATGCGCATAGTATACGCGTACCAACACCTTGGTGGTAAAAGCGGAATTATGTAAACTTTATAATAATAAAATATCTCATACCGGATATTGTTCATTGATAGCAAGGGCTAAACTAACATCATCAGGATTGCTAATTCCATGTGTACTATGATCCTGCAAAACTTCTATTAAATAAGATATTGCTTTTTCTTCGAAAGGTACCGTCTTCAACTAAGTATTGAAAGCTTTTTAAGTTTCATTCAACAACCCATTTTTTTTAAAAAAAAGATCGTAAACTTACCTGAGGTATAGTAGAAATAATAATACGATAGCAGGCTTCTCTAACGTATAATTTACATTTCGCACAAGCAAGTAGACCGTTGACAGTCTCGAGATAGTCATTTTCGGATGAATTTTCACGCCAAAGGATGCCAGATCGAATAATAGCCATATAACCAAAAACACGGCCAAAAATGATATCAGAACCTTCCTATAAGGAAAGAATTGTAAAATTTGATTTAAGAAAAATCACTAATTGACAAACGAAAACTTCACTTATATACAAAATTACCTGATCTTTAGAAGCTGAAATAGGGCAAGCTTCATTGATAAATGTAATGACAATTTTAAATGTAATGCCATCTAGATTTGCAAGAAGCTGTATGGAAGATCAAAATATTCAATGCTATGGTGATTTAAAGCTTTATTTAATATTTACAGTAGATCACACACCTCTGTCAACGCCAATGCAAAACCATGTCTGGCACCTGCACGTGGACTTGCCAAACCTCTAGTCAAGCGAATCAATGAATAAGCTACTTCGGGTCCGAATAGCTTTTCCGATATCTCCGTAACCCTTCAAGTATCAAAGGAATTTTAACACTGATTCGAATGGATTACATATGCCTTAAGCCATTTTTTTTTAAAAAAAAAAAAAAAGGTACTTTGAAAAATCATTGAAATCATCAGCTGAATCGATATTCGCTTTTGTATTATCAAACTTTTCATATAGGTGGTTAATTAATTCTCCAGCAGCTTTTTTTCGAATAGAAGAATCTAAAGATGCTAATTCCCAAAAATAATCATACGTTGCTGACATGATTAACATAGAAATTTTGATAAAATTTTTTTTTTATTTGGATTTACGATCTGTATCACGTGGAAGAACTGCCCGTAGATCATCTCCAGAAATACAGAAATAAGGATATGAGTGATCGAACATGCTCGATCGTGATCGATTGCTGCATAAAATTTTTTGGTTTGATCTAATCGAACATATACGTTTAAAGATTGATCATCAAATTTTTTGCTAACCCGACTTTAACACACTAAATAATTGTCCTTAATACAAAATTCCATCTGTCCTAAAATTTGGATCACTTTTATTAACATTTAGCATGCGTTAAAGAAATGTTTAATAAAAAGTAATCAAAATTTTTGGGGTAGGCAGCTTTATACTAACGTATAAATAACTTTAATTAGTACGCTACGTAATGTAAATTTATTTGGTAAAAAAAATTCCCTAATAAAAAGTTCGATGATCGATCAAAGTTTCGAATATGACCGATCATGAGCACTAGTCGTTGGTCGGCTAATCGACTAAGTTTTTTTCTTTTTTTTTACACAGATATGAAGTTATATAAATAAGGTTAGATTAGTTAATTAGTCTATGACTAAATTTTTGGTCGATTCCAATCCTTACACGGAAGTTCTTTTAATTGGCCCCCAAAAAAACGAAAAACCTGCAAATTTATTCGCTAACGCCTTATCGAATTCGGCCCCGAAAAATTTATTTTGTGATTAGTTTTAAAACATATTTATTTAAGAGCTGCCAAATCGCACATCTTTTTAAGATGACTTTTAGCACCGTAGTTATGTTGAAAAATTTAGTTTTGCTAGCAAGCATGCATATATTTTAATGTATATGAAGAATAGCCAGTTTTTAATAAGTAGATTAGTGGTGAAAAAGATGTTGACCACATAAGAATGATCCAATAATTTTTTATTAAATAGATCTATAAAAAAATATCAAATAAACCATACTCTATTTATAGCTATATAATAATAATATTAATAATTTGTCGCATCAAACTATGCTTTTTATTAAATTATACAGATTTAATAAATATTATTCAGCTTTTCTTTTAACCATTAACGACTTGATTTGCCGATAATTAAAGTAAAATAAAAATATAGTAAACATTCCTGCACTAAAAATAACATTTAAGACAACATAAATATCAGGGTATCTTTTTGGTGGTGGAATATTAAATTCTAATATATGAATAAATGCCATCATAGAATATGATAGCTTAAATAAAATAATTAAGGATGATTAGTAAAGCACAATTATACAAATAGCGTTTAATAAATAATGCAAACTCACCCATGATAAATATTTCAATATTATAGGTTTGGTATCTTGCTTGATGAAAGAACCCATCCAGTTCCACATAAGCCATACTGTGAAATATGGCAAAACTAATCTATCCTTTTTTAATAGCGGAAACATACTAATATATTAATAAATTTTTATTATACTTATTAGTGTCTTTAATATCAGTGTACTAAATTGTCTGCTAATAATATTATACCTGAACACTGCAACATTCATGAACCAAGAACACCAGAAAGTATCATCTAAAATTAATAGACAAACAGGTAAAGCGGGTAATAAAATAGATTTTTCATGTACTTGAAATGAAAACATGAAAAATGCCAATGAAGAATTTGCTAAACAATAAATAAGATAACGTTTATCAGGATTTGATCCGAGATGAATGCATGATGGTAAAATAGCCAATAAGGTGGTGACAAGACTAAATTTGAAAGATAACTACTATAAATATTATGCAATAACGAATGTCAATAAATTAACATGATATAATAATATATTACCTAATTTTAGCCAATGCTTGGATACCCAGAATTTCTCTCAATTTGATAATTATATTAATTGCACACCAAATATTCGCGACTTTGTCTTCATATAATCCACGTTGTAATGGGAATATGCGAATAATGACTTGTGAAATTTGTTCTAGAGAAACTAAGAAAGGACAAAATACTATTCCAAAAGTAACAATTACTGCAATGCCCAACTTAATAACCCTATGTACATATGAGCTATGTATTAGATTGATTCATTAAGTTTTGATAGGCAATAATAAAAACAATATGAATAGTTACCCTCGTATATCATTTTTTATACACTTTCCTAACAAATACGAAAAAATTGCAGGAGCAAAATAGAGTGCCATCTGCTTGAAACTCAAGGCAAGACAAAAGAATACACTTCCTAGAACATCACGGTCATAGAAAAAACAATTGACCGCCCACAGAGTTAGACCAAGCATTACAGAATTATACCTGATATAAATATGCAAAAAGTGGAAAATGAAAGCCTTTAATGAAAAATAAATGGTTATAATAATAATAATAATTGTGGCAGCTGATGCTGAAATTTTACCTATTTTACTAAAATTTTTAAAAACTTTGGGGCCCTTTTTGTAATTT